CAGACAAAAGCAATGTTGTGCTGTCATGATGCAAGTTCTACCCTTTGTGTTGTGTTATAATCACATATAAATGTCCCAAAGGGATAGACCTTGGGATCGGACAGCATGATGAATGTGTGACATCATCAAACAAATGCTGCCCTTATGTGCTTTCATCCCAATGTCTGACACATAAGTTGCAGCATCTTGATAAAGATGTCATTGTGCTTAATTTGTTATGGATGCCCCCACCCCTCATTCTGAGCATACCTATGGTTTTAAGATTAAATACTCACATGGGGGTAACATTTCCTGACAATCCTAGGGAGCTGATACAACAGATTTATTGCTCATAGCTTTCCATTAAGAAATGTGTGAATTGGCCATGATCTCCTTTGTTATTCTTCTTTAGCAAATTCTGTCTCCTTGTCAATCTCTTTTTATTCAACTTTAATTCACAGCAAAGCCATGGCAATGGCTTTGTTGACATCCTTATCATTTCCATGGCAGCAGGGTATCCTCTCTTAAACACAACTGCAGCATCATGCACAGTTGGAAAAGTATTAGAATATGATCCAAAATGTGTATTATACGATTAGTATTTTTAAAAAAGAGAATGATTTGTGAACTTGCTGAAACAAAGATTAATTTCCTTAGATTTAAGAACTAAAGGATCCCTTAATTATTGCATAAAAAAAAAACCCTATCATGTTATTGAAGTATTTTAAACAACAGTCTTTGCAAGAAAATATACCTTAGAACTTCACAGATGGAATAGACAGCCAGGTATACAAAGCAGAAGTGTTAACAGAAAGAAAATACAGCATTTAGTAGGCCTTTAGAGTGAAAATTAAGTTCAGTTTACTGAAGCTTTCTATTAGAATATAACCATGTTAGTTTGTTGATTGGTTGGTCACATATATAACCTGTTCACTCCTGATTAAAAGAAGCCCATGCTGCTCATGTGACAATAAGAGTCACTTTTTGTGAGATGGGCAGTATCTAAATTTGAAATATAAATAAATAAAATTAAAAAATTAAAAATAGTTAAGCACCTGTAGGCATAAATAGAAATCCATGCCAAACCCTGAGATTTTAATTCCTCTGTCTCCTGCAAATTCATTTCTACTTTAGCAAATACCGAACTAACTTTTATATATAAACTAGTAGCTGTATTTTAAAAGAAAGTGCTAAACCAGCCAGCTACAAATTTTCTGTGGTTCTTTCAAGACATCAAAAACTATTGATTTCTCAGGCATGGGAACTGATTTAAAAACATTATTATACAAGCCATCCACGGAACTATATGTTTCTTGAAAAAAGTAGTTTATTTTAAAGTCAGAATTCCTGGATTGACAAATTGAGAACCCATGAAGAATAAATTGAATTCAGGCTAATTCATGCATATGGAGAAAAAAGCAGAGAGTGTAAGAACACAGAGCACTTTAATGCACTTCCTTTATGTTTGTATGGAGATGCTGCCTATTTTCCATTAGGCAATTAAACTGATACGCTTTTCTCTTCTTGTAAAAAATTGTAACTTTCAAAGGCAAGCTGCTTTTCCCTTTGTTTTCAATTAGATGTGGTGTTGCCAGATTTTGTTATCAGATGGATTTGGAAGCAAACTCTTCCTGTCTTAAATTATTTTATCTTAAGCCAGATTCCCTATTAAGTTTATCTTGGTGTTTACAACTATCCTTCCCATCCTCTGCCCGTGTCTATTTCGTTTCTCTCCCCTCCCCTCCCTTCTCCCACATGATCCAAACTTTGCTTTTAAATGGAGAAAAGGAAGAAAAAAGGAGAAAGTAGAAACAATGTAATACCAAATAGGGCATGCTTAGTTTGTTTATGTGTGTGTTTTAAAAGTATCACATCTTAATTAAATGTACCATCATTCTATAATTTTTTTGTGGCACAGATGTTCTGTGAAATAGCCTTCAGGCCACTTAGACTAAAGGCAACGT